CACCACGATGCCTGAACAATCCTCCACCACGATGCCTGAACAATCCTCCACCACGATGCCTGAACAATCCTCCATCACGATGCCTGAACAAGCCTCCATCACCGTGCCTGAGCAATCCTCCACCACAATGCCTGAGCAAGCCTCCTAGCGGTGCCTGAGCAATCCTCCACCACGATGCCTGAACAATCCTCCATCAGGATGCCTGAGCAATCCTCCACCACGATGCCTGAGCAATCCTCCACCACGATGCCTGAGCAATCCTCCATCACGATGCCTGAGCAATCCTCCATCAGGATGCCTGAGCAATCCTCCATCACCGTGCCTGAGCAATCCTCCACCACGATGCCTGAACAATCCTCCATCACGATGCTCTGAGCAATCCTCCACCACGATGCCTGAGCAATCCTCCACCAGGATGCCTGAGCAAGCCTCCATCACGATGCCTGAGCAATCCTCCACCACGATGCCTGAGCAATCCTCCATCACGATGCCTGAGCAATCCTCCATCACGATGCCTGAACAATCCTCCATCACGATGCCTGAGCAATCCTCCATCACGATGCTCTGAGCAATCCTCCACCACGATTCCTGAACAATCCTCCATCACGATGCCTGAGCAATCCTCCACCACGATGCTCTGAGCAATCCTCCACCACGATGCTCTGAGCAATCCTCCATCAGGATGCCTGAACAATCCTCCACCACGATGCTCTGAGCAATCCTCCATCACGATGCCTGAGCAATCCTCCACCACGATGCTCTGAGCAATCCTCCACCACGATGCCTGAACAATCCTCCACCACGATGCTCTGAACAATCCTCCATCACGATGCTCTGAGCAATCCTCCTGGAGCCGCATGGCCGACGGCGAGCCGGGGAAAGCTCGCGCGCTCTCCCCCCGGCCGCCGGCAATCTCGCGACGCGTGGACCCTGCGCGGAATAATCCCGGGAGGGCTTCAAGGGAGCGCGGCAAAAATCGGTCCCCCCCCGGAGGGCTCGGGCCCTACCGGGGGGGGACGCGCACCGGAGCGCCCCCTGGGGCCCCCCGGGCGCTGCCGGTGGGTAAAGCGCCGCTCCCCCGGTGCCGTTGGCGACCTCGCGCTCCAACGACATCCACGGCCTCAAGGTAAGGCGAGCGGCAGCGGAAAGTCTGGACCGCGCGTACGGCGGGAGGAGCGTCGACAAGGCCATCGCGAGCGGAGCGGAACGCCGACACCGCCGCCCTCCGCCGCCACCCTCGCCGCCTCTCTGCGATGAAACTTCCGGGCCCCCTGGCCGTCAGCGCTCGGAGAAGTTTCGCAAAGGGGCGCAAACCCCCCCCCCCCCCCCCCCCGCCCGCAACAAAGCCGGCAATAATAAGGGGAAAGGCCTCTCATTATCGCGGAGGCGTGGGCGGGCCACGTCCGCACACAGGGAGTCTTCCGCCCGGGGTCCGTCGCGATGCCCGATTCGCTTACCTATGTGGCCCGAGTAACCGGCAGAGTTTTTTTGGGGGGGGCAGGCGACATTTTCGAGGCTTGAACATTCGGGTCATGAAACGGGCTGGCCGAGCGCGATGACGTCATCTGAGTTGATCGGGCACGGATCCCACGGCAGGGCCGCCGAAACCGATTCCACGAGCCTCTGAAAAGTGGCAGGCGCGGAATGGAGCCCCATCGGAAGCCAGATGAACTCAAACAGCCCTCGGGGCGCCCGAAAAGCCGCCTTGGGCCTCGAGGCCTCCGTCAAGCGGGGATTGCCAAAACCCGGACAAAAAGCCGAGGGTCCTAAAATACCGCGCGCCTGCCCAGCGCGTCCGAAGGATCGTCCACGTGAGGGCAGGGGGTAGGCATCCGCGACTGGCACCTTAAAATTTGCATTTAAAGAACACAGATGGACTCGTCCTTCTAAATAAACTGCCAAATCGCTGCGCGTGGCGCTGACGGTTTTTATAAATAAATAAATAGATACACCGTTTAAAAATAAATAAATTGATGCGAACCGACACACCTGATGACGACCGTTTGTGTCATGGTCGAAACGTCGTGAGAATTTTTATTGTTTTATATATATTTTATTATTTTATTGTTTTATATATATTATTATTTTATTGTGTTATATATTATTATTTTATTGCTTTATATATTATTATTTTATTGTTTTATATATTATTTTATTGTTTTATATATTATTTTATTGTTTTATATATTATAATTTTATTGTTTAATGTATATTATTTTTTTATTTTATACATATTACTTTATTGTTTTTATATTATTATTTTATTGTTTTATATATATTATTATTTTATTGTTATATATATTTTATTATTTTACTGTTTCCCTTCAACGTGACTTTAGCGAAAGAGCTCAGAATACGACGGACACCTTGTCAAGTTTGCTGAAATCGACGCAAAGCCGCGGGACTGCCGCCCGTGTTCCTCGACGAGGGCAATCCGGACTGGCGGACGGCGAGGTGATATCCGCGGGCAACGTTTCACCCGACCGCCACACGAACGAGG